GCTATAGGGCGCATGCGCTCACCAGAAAGACAAGAGAGACACAGAGGCAGAAAGCGAGAAATCACCCTCGCAGGGGGGATAGCCATGCTGCAATCTCTTTACCGTCATTCTCCTCCCAGGGTCTTGGGCAAACATGCACACACACCTGGCATGAGTTTCAAGCTGCTGGGTCCAGGGCTCGAACCCAGCAGCGTGGGTTGGCCATGTGGGAGTTCAGCAACATAGCCATTATGCCAACTGCTGGTCCCAAAGTTCTATTTCTTGACCTAGGTCAAGTGATTAAACAGATACTTGCTTTACAACTATTAATTATTCTGGGCTGGGACCAGCAGATGGTATAATGGTTATGTTGCTGAACTCCCACATGGTTGACCGCAGTTTGAGTCCTGGACCCGGCAGCTTAAAACCCATGCCAGGTGTGTGTGCATGTATGCCCAAGACCCTGGAAGAATGAAGCAAAAGGGACTGAGGCCTGGCCATTCGCCCTTGGGGGTGATTTCTCACTTTCTGCCTCTCTGGTGAATGCACACACCCTGTAGCAAAAATCTCTCTCTAAAAAAAAATAAATAACATATATATATATATATATATATTCTGGACAGATAAGCCTTGTGACCTTTTCTGTACATTTATTAAGTTTTCCACGCTGATACGCTGATAAAAAGAAACTTTAAAAAATTAGTGAGAGTTGAGAAGTTGATTAAGAGATGTGAAGGGGAGAAGACAGGAAGGGTAGAGAAAAGGGTGGATGTGTATTTAGGCTGGGCCAGCCTCAACAAACATGTTACCATTATGCCACCATTTGGTCCCTCAATTATTTATTCATTTTCACTCTCAAAATTATAATTTTAATGTTCTCTGTTTCATGTTCAGAGCATAACAATTACTTGTAAATAGTAACACAGGACAGAGTATGAAGGAAAGTATTGACTTTCTCTCCAAAAGGAACTCCCTTTGACAAGAGGGAAAACAAGCCTCTTCCAGAAGGGAGACTGAGTTTCCTGTGATAAGGAAAGGGCTTCGGCCTGTTGTGGTAAGGAGCCGCTATATATATAGTGAGAGTCCAGAATGGTTTGGACTCAAGGACTTGGAATCATCTAAAACCACTCAAGATTCGTATGCCGAACAGCAGAGTCCTGCACTTTCATGATCAATAATAATAATGGATCATATTTACTGGGTGCTCTGTGTGTGCAATTCCCCATTATAAGTACTTTACATGTACTTATGATTTAACTCTCAACTTTTTAGTGAGGTAGGTACTATTATTTCTCTATTTTACCATACAGTTTTCCCTCATGACTCTCAGATTTTATATCTGCAAATCTACTTACCAGTTAAAGTTTATTGGCAACCCTCAAATAAATAATTGCTGAGCTTCTAAAGTCACTCAAGGCATGCACATGAATGTGCACAGGAGTGGAGAAATGTGTTACCCAACGCGCATGCTCCCCCGTGAGGTCTAACAAGTGACATTCTTCCGACCTTCTTCTTTCTGCTCTCATGGTGCAAATAAGTGTCCTTTCCTGTAAGTGTCTAGGTCTTTTCATTTTTGTGCTGCTTGTGATTTTGCCAATTATAATAGCTCCCACAAACAGCACTGAAGTGCTGTCTAGTGTTCCTAAGTGCAAGAGGCTGCCCATGCCTTTTGGAGGAAACCCACTCGTTAGTAAGCTTCATTTGGCATGAGCGGTAGTGCTATTGGTGGTGAGTACTATGTTAATGAATCAATAACTTATATTAAATAAGGCATCTTTAAACAGAAACACACACAAAACAAGGTTATATATTGATAAGTTAATAAAAATGTGATCAGAAGCACACATGGGCCTAACCCTGTATTTTCTCTAAGAGCAGTGGTTTAGAATTTGCCAAGTCAGTGATCACAGAGACTTTATTAAACACAGCTATTAAAAATAACCAGAATTTACTATATGATGAAATGAGACAGTCTAAGCCCCATTTGCTGGCATTCAGCTAACGTGAAGAAGCCAGAATTTGAAGTCAGGCCATTACTCCAGAACCCTGTCTTTCAAACATGGTTATCTAGCAAGGTCTTACATTCAAATAACACTAATTCATCAACTAAGAGGCTCAAGCTCTGAGTTTAGTTATTTCTGTATGGAAAGCACCTAAAATAGTCCGGCTTCAAACAAAAGCTAGAAGATTTAAGTGTATCCCTCTTTCCCCTATTTCATCCACTGACACCAGAAGCAGCTGGCCTGCTCTGCTTTACCCTTCATAATACTTTACAGAAGCAGCTACCCAGTTGCCAGAGCTGTCCCCTCAATGGACACTAAATTTCAAGTGACCCCCCAGTTCATCAAAAAGTGTTACAATACATTCCCATATGAGAGAATGAGTTTCCCTATATGCTGGACCTGCTCAAACAGATTTTTTTTTAAGACAGGTCTTATTATGTAATCATCCTCCTGTCTCAGCCTCCAAAGTAGCAAGGACTACAGGTACATGACACTGTGCCCAGCCTTTGGGTTGGAGCAAGAATCAAACCTGGGTCTCCCATGGGTCCTAGCCTATGGAGCACAGATCTTAGGCACACACCCTACTGCAGCTAGGTCATTTTTTTTTAAAGAGATTTTTGCTATAGGGCACATGTGCTTGCCAGAGAGAGAGAGAGAGAGAGAGAGAGAGAGAGAGAAAGCGAGAAATCACCTCTCAGGGGGGATGGCCATGTCACAATTCCTTCTCCTCCATTCACTCAGGATTTTGGCCATGCACACACATGTGCCTGAAGTGGGTTTTAAGCCGCCAGGTTCAAAACTCGAACCGTGCACTACGTGAGAGTCCAGTGACACAATTATACCATCTGCTGCCAGATACTTCTATTGTCTTTCTAGTAATGCTCTAGACTGGGGATCAGCAAACACTTTCTGTAAAGGGCCAAAGAGTAAATATTTTAAGCTTTGTGAGTGATGTAGTCTCTTCCTCAACTACACGACTCTGTCCTTTTATCAAAAGAGCAGCCACAGCACCAGCCCCATAATGCAGCAGTTGGATGCTGAGCAGAGAAAGCTAGATTGCACGTGACTGTCCACAGTTCAAGTCCAGGTCCCACTGGCAAAGTGCATGCCCACACGTTCAGGATCCTGACAAGATGGAGAGTTGAGGGAGGGTTACAACATGACCACATCCTGTTGGATGTGTGCTCTCTCTTTCTCTCTCTCTCTCCTTGTGCACATGTCCTATAGCATACAAAAACTGCACCCACTGAAGACACGTGACCTCATTAGGTGTTCCAATAAAACTTTATTCACGGGACTGGCAGGTGATATGGTGGGTAAAAGCACTGGATTCCCACATGGCCAACCACAGTTTGAGTCCCAGACCTGGTGACTTGGTTTCTTGCTTTCCCTTCCTTTCTCTCTCTCTCTCTAGTCAAATTGAAAAATAATATGGAATTAAATAAATAAAAAAAAATTTTGAGAGGTTTCTGCTATAGGGCGTGTCCGCTCGCCAGGAAGACAGAGAGACAGAGAGACAGAAAGCAAGAAATCATCCCCCAGGGGGGAAGGCCACACCGCAATCCCTTCTCCTCCTTTCTCCTCTAGGGATCTTGGGCATGCACACACATGCGCCCGGCATGAGCCACCGGGTCCAGGACTCGAACCACGGTTGATTACATGGGAGTCCAGCGACATAGCCATTATGCTAACTGCTGGTCCCCACAAATAAATAATTCTTTAAAAAGAAAAACTTGATTCACAAAAGTAAATGGAGGGTCAGCTTTCTCCTGCTCTAGAGAGAGGAACTGTGTCTTAAGTTTGTTAACTCCAGCCCTAGAAGTAGAAATTGTCTTATTTTGGAATGGACATGAATGTCCATTCCAAATGAATGAAATGTAAAACAAGAGCATCACAGATATTGATTTCAAAATAGAAGAGCTATAGAACTATAATTGGCATATTTTCACTTGTCAAAGTGGGCATGGATAGTGCACTTCTCATGTTAGATCTGAGTAATGATAGTTGGGAAAATTAAAACAAAGATAAGGCAAAGGATCTTCTCTTCACATGCCCTTCCCAACTAGCCTGGGTCTCAGCAAATCCATGTCTTTCCAGGTTCCACGCAATACAGAACTGTGAGGCTGAACTGGAGATGCGAGCGAGAACAGTTCTAAATCATGTTTTAGGTTAAGTTCCAGAGCTCAGCTCTCTAGAGTTGACTCAGTCTTTGTACATTCTTAGCTTTGTGTATGTGATTTAGTTTCCTAGCCCTAAACTCCAAGACAGGTTATAAAACTGTCTGGAAATAAGACTGCTTGGTTTACATAAACAGGTATTGGTTTGGACTTGAAGGGGGTGTTTGGAACTAAGAGAGTCTTACGGACTAGGATTCGGCCACAGAACTAGTAACTTCTCATAAAAGTCAAGTCCCATACACTCCCCTACGCCCCATCCTGCCGCTTTAATCCATGTTTTACGATTACAAAGCACTCTTGTCTCAGCTCCCACAGCTGTAAAACGCGGACTAAGTTCTTCATTGTGCTACGGCAGAATTAAATCACTGGCTCTGCAGGTAGTTTTTCATAAGTGCCTGGCATGTTGTAGGCACAGAGAAAACGTTAGTTACCATCTCCAACTACTGGGGCATCACAGCGTCTCCCCCAGAAGAAAGATAAACACGGGGTAGAATCTCAGACATGTGGCAGATAGGTGCCGGGGAAAGCTCTTTACGAGATGTTTCGGGGTAACCAGCACAGCCTCAAGCCCTGAGAGCCATCAGGACACGTCGAGACTCACCCAGGAAACGCGGCACTCCTAATAATCTGAGCTCAGAAACGTTTCGAGCCAAGTGAACGCCTACTTCCGCTAGAACAGGCCAAAATTAGCCCCTTCCGTCCGCGCGCAAGACGTGGCCGAACCGCCCCCTGATGGGCGGGGCCGTACGTAGCCACGCCCCTTGATCCTGCTCACCTCCTCCTGCGCCAGGCACCGCCGAGGCCACTCCCTTCTCCTGCCCGGCGTCCCACCCGATCCCGCCCTCGCGTGACGTCACTTCCGGGGCGGCCCGGGTGGGGCCCAGCCGGGACCACTGCCCTGAGCTGTCTTGGCTCCACTACTAGCCACGTCCCCGCACTGGTCTGCAGGCACGTCCCCGCCGTCCGAGGGCCTCCGGGCCGCCGCAGGCCTGTCGTGCCCGGGTAAGGGGCTTGCGCTGGTGTCCGGGGGTCTGTTGTCAGTGCTGTCTGAGCCGGCTTGGGACTGAGAATGGGAGGTGGGAGGACAGAAGGAAGGTTGAATGGGGCATGAGAGGCGTGAGGGGACAGAAGGAGGAGGGTGAATAAGGGCCAGGCAAGAGGAGGGTTGAATGGGGATGCAAGAGGCAGGACGCTGGGGACAAGAGAAAAGATGAGCGGGGTTTACAGAGTGCAAGACACAGAGCATAGAAGGTGAGGAATAAGGGGTGAGAGGAAGGAACCAAGTGGGGACCCAATAGGCTGGAGGAGAAGGGCTGAAAGGGTTCCCATACTGGAAAAGAGGTCAGAAAAGATCTTACTGGGCAAGCTTAGATTAGGCTGGACCTCAGGAAGTGGTGCCCTCAGAAAAAGAGTTGGCCCTGTGGGTGATCCAGGCCTACCCCCCAGATCCTCTTTACCTGGGAAAGGGTTATCTATTTCCATCAGATTTTTCTACCCTACTCTTCTACCTGGCTGCCTACCTCCTGCCATGTGAGTCACCAAAGTAGTCCTTCCTGTGGCTGCTTATTGTATATGCTTAACTCTTAGGCTGACACTAGCAATTTACTTCCACATGGTTTGCTACAAGAAAGAAATGTTGTGCTTAGAAATCTGAACAACTTACTGTTATCCACCCCCACACCCAAGCATCTCTAAAATTTCAATAAAGTAAGCAAGGGAAATATTTTAAAAAACAAATTGTACATTTATGATAGACCTGCCTAATGGTCAAAAGAATGTTAAATCTCTTCCACCTTGCAGCAAAAATTAGGCCCTAGCATTTACCTGTGATATTAAAACTTCTAGAGAGTTGGGTCAGCAGGTGGCAGAGATTAAGGCAGCTGGCTCCACATGGCTGACTCTGCCATTCAAGGCCTGGATTGTCGACTTGAAAATCACACAGGGTGAGTGCACATGTGTGCCCAAGAGGAGAATGAAGAAAATGGGATTGTGGTGTGGCCATCTCCCCAGAGGGTGATTTCTCACATTCCCTTTCTCTCTCTCTCTGTTTCTCTTTGAAAGTGACTATATACGTGCCCTATAGCAAAAACTTAAAAAGAAAAACTTCCAGAAGGACCAGCACATGGCACTGAGGTTGAGGCAGCTGGATCCCACATGGTGGACTGAGCAGTTCAAGTCCCAACTGGGCAACTTGAAAAACACACTGGGCATGTGCACAGGCATGCCCAAGATCCCAAGAAGAGTCTGGAGGAGAAGGGATTGCAGTGTGGCCATTCTGCACTCCACCCCACCCCCTGCCACAGGGGGTGATTTCTCACTTTCCCTTCTCTCTAGCTGCCTGTCTCTCTCTCTCCAGCAAGTACATACACAAACTTTAAAAAACAAAACAAAACAAAACAAAAAACTTCCAGAAACCTAGAAGCAAGCAATGTAATTAAGACAATATCCAATGTTCCAGGTTCCTACCTGCCACAGAGACACATCCTTTGGACCACAGGGCAGATCTATATACATAAAACCATAAATCTGTGTTCCTTGGACTTCTGCTACCAAAGTTCAGCCAGGTGCTGTGTCAGGATTAAATGTCTGCAATTTGCTTTTGCAATCCTGTTCCTTCGTATATATGGTTTCCACAACATGGAGTAGTGACCAGGGCCACCTTGCTGCTGCTGAGTAAATATTAATAGCACAGTAGAATATGGGGGTAACACTTGTAGTCCTTTACCAAGTATGAGGACTACTTGTGTTGAATCTTTGAAACCTATCTGTGCCAGAAAAAAAGAATGAAAGGAATTGGACTTCAGTTTTACATCACGTGCACACATCACCATACATGTAACAAACAGGTTCATAAAAGAGGTAAAAAAAAAAAATCAAGCAAATGTGAACACAAGAAATCAGAGACTAGATGTTAGGAGATATCTCAAGGTCGTAAGGTCGTGGACCAGAAAAGGATAGAGAGGTATGGGACAAGGTCACAGTCTGGGGGTGGTTTTTCATGGGTATGTCACCCGGCTGAAGATGAGTAACTTGCTGTTCCTTCTGAGAATCAGATCCTATTGGGAGCTGATTCCAGAAGAAGGAAAACTCCCAGCACTAGCCTAACTCTGTCTTCCTATCTATCCTGGTCTCCTACTTAATTCTAACCTTGGTTATTCCGCTCCTGTCCTGGAGATCTGCTTCCTTTCCATCTATTATGATCTGAGAACTTGATTTACCCAGTTTCCCTGTACTGAGTAATAGTGAGAAGGACTGGGTAGGTCCTGATGGCAAGACTTTCATTTAAGGCTCACTTAAGCCCTTACAGCGGCAACTATTATTAAAGCTTTATGATTTGTCCGTTATGAGTCAACAAAGATTAGCATAGGTCTCCACGTGTGGTCAGGACATTTAGAATATTCTGTTGGAAAGTGGAGGCAGGACCATACCAGAGAGATGAAATCATGGTACACAAAGGCTTGTTCTTGACTGTACACGGCAGCCGGTTCCTTTTGCTGTGGGAGTGACCACCAGCCATAGTAGGTGGGAGTGAATAAGCAATGATGGTCTCCAGCAGGAGTTTCCTGAGATAGCTTTGTGCACATGCTCCATGTGTATGTAGCTACTTGTGTGGGTGTGATTTCACACGTGGCATGTATGTGTGACTGCTTGCACACGTGTAGTATGTGGACATGTGCATCTGTTTGTGGATGCACAGCTATGTATGTGCATAAGTGTGAGTGTGCACTTCATGCACATGACTGGACACATACACGTATGACTGTGTGTGCTTCTGGAGGTGGTTGTGTGCTTCTGTGGGTGTATGAGGCCCCAGTGGTCCTCAGGGATTACTCCCTACTGATATCTGCCCACCATGTGATGAGCTGTTTCTGTAATTGCCTCCTGAGTTCACGTTAATTATTAATGCGGCACCATTTGTTCTGATTATTATCTTTGCATTACAGCTGTACTCTTAGATTCCTCTAAAGTTTTGGCTGGCTCCTAGAAATGTATCTCTGATATCATATAGTTTCTTTAAATTATTAAAATCTAATTGTGAAACTGTATCAAGTGGGAATACTCTGTGCCTTTCTGCCTAGTAGCTCAAAGTATTAGAAATCAGTTCTTTTCTTTCATTGGCATCTTTCAGAAATATTTTATAAGTGATACATGATTAGTGTTAAAAAAAGACATAAAGTAGAAAAATATTTTTTAAGAATTATTTATATATTTATTTATTTTAATTTGACCAGAGAGAGACAGAGTGAAAGAGAGAGAGAGAAAGTGAGAAAGCAAGCTGCCAGATTTGGGACTCAAACCATAGTTGTTGCTGTGGGAGTCAAACTCAAACCATGCCACCTGTTGACCCCCTCCCCCATAAAATAGAAAATTTAAATCACAGGCTGATCATTCCCCAGGGATAATCATTATTAACATTCTGATACAACTCTCCAAACCCTTTATTACTTAAACAAAAATAGGATTATATTATGAGTTTATTTTGTTTAACTGCCAGAGGGTACATGTGCCCACCAGAGAGAGGAAGAAAGCACCCCCCCCATGGGTTGAGGTCATGCCATGGTCCCTTCTCTTCCAATTCTCCATCCTATGGGGATTTGGGACACATACGCACATGCACCTGGTATGTTTTTCAAGCTGCTAGGGTTAGGATTCAAACCACAGTTGGCCATGTCAGATCCAGGTTCCCTTAACCACTAGACTATGGAGCTGGACCAGGACTACAACATGTATATTGTTGTGTAACCTGCATTTTTAATAGTGTATACTGTGGGCCAGCAGGTGACATGATGGCTAAGGCACTAGGTTCCCACATGGCCAACTGTGGTTTGAGTCCCGGACCCGTTGGCCTGAAAATCATACCAGGTCCATATGCATGTGTGCCCAAAATCTGGAGAGAAGAATGGAGGAGAGAGGATTGCAGCATAGCCATCCTCCCGGGGGGAGGAGGGCAGGGCATGAGTGCTCACTTTCCTTCTCTCTGTCTCTCTCTAGTGAGTATACACACCCTATGACAAAAATTAAAAATTTAAAAATAAATGTTGTGCATCTTCCCATGTTAATAGAAACTTGAATATATCTTTAACAGCTATCATCATATTTTGTACATGAATGGTACCATACTTAACAGAATTATTCCAGTTTTTTACAATTATAAATAATGCTGTAAAGGCCAACCCCAGAGCACAGCAATTAAACCCAGTACATAGGGAGCTAGATCCCACATGGTTGGTTACAGTTCAAATCTCAGTCCCGGCAGCTTGAAAACACTAAATGTGTGTTCCTGTATGCTCCAAATCCTAGCAGGATGGAGAACTTGAGAAGGATTGTGGTGTAACCATGCCCGATTGGGGGATGCTTTCTTCTTCACTCTGTCTCTGTCAAGCACATGTATCCCCTGACAATAAAAAAGTGCTGTAATTAATGTTTGTAGATCTCCATCTTTGGACATCTGTCTGCCCCGTTGCTTCCTTAGAAGTTCCTGCAGTAGAAGTTGCTACATCAGAAGGGTTGACATTGAAAGCTTTGATACATGCTATTTTCCCAGGATAATGATCTACTGAATACTGCAGTTTTTGGTACTTCCCCCTTCACTGGATTTCTCATGCATACTTTTCCTAAAGAGTGTTGACTCTTTTTCAAACCCTAGATTCATCTGTTACCAGAGTGGAACATTTGCCTTCACCCCACATGTGCCACAAAGCATGCCATGGCCTGGGAGTGCTCCACCAAGCTGCTTTTACCTTCCACAAAGCCAGAGATCATCCAGCAAGTGCCCAGCGCCAAGCCTACGGCTCTCCGAGGAGGATGATGGACTGGCCTGGGCACATGCCCTGAGCAGCTGCCTCTGGTGAGTGTGCAGGCCCTGTAGGCCAGGTCCACCTGTTTAGGGGTAGGATAGTGAGCCTAGAGAATGTCCTGAGGGGGTTTTACTGGGTCAGCAGAGCCAAGGAAAAAGCAAGGACAGCAAAGCCTTATGGCAGCTAAGGGTGGCCCAGTCTGTGGCCCTTCACTGACAGGGATCCTGCTTTCTGAGGTAGACCAAGATGGTGGGCCATGGGCGGGGACAGACATGAGAGAACAAGGACTGTGTGAACCTCTGTGGCCTTCTTCTGCTTCCATGCCACAAATGCAAGTCAGCAGAAGTTCTCTACTGGCCTGTGTCGTAATGCTCATAGGGCCCCTTTGATGTGTGGGAGATGCTGTGCCTCACTGATGGAGGACAATGGAGGTGGAGACCAGCCAGAGGCTGTCCTGCTATGGGAATGATGGTTATGTCCAAGGCCAGGAACTGGAAAGGAAGGGGGAAATTCATTCAGTACGTTGAATCAGTTGTTCCCTGCCTCAACTAGAGGAACAACCCTGACGTTGACTACAGCATTAGGCAGGGGGTTGCCAACTATGGTCTGTGGGCCATGTTCCACCTGCTGCCTGTTTGTGTAAAGTTTTATTGGGACATAGCTACACTCACTATTTACAGATCAGCCTTGGATACTTTTGCTCTAAAACAGCAGAATGGAGTAGCTGAGACAGGCCATATGACCCATAACATTTAAAATATTTGTTATCTGGCCCATTACTGCATATATAAATATATATATATATATATATATTTAGTTTTGATTTATTTGTTCCTTCCATGACAGAGAGAAAAAAAGAAAGAGAATATTGAGTTTTGATTTATTTGTTCCTTCCATGACAGAGAGAAAAAAAGAAAGAGAGGCAGGCACCTACTGCAGGTCTTCCCACTATAATCTACCTCTGGTCACAGCCAGCCCAGAACATGGGCACAGGAGCGTGTGCCCAGTCTGCCCAAGGAGGTCCTGGAATATGAGCCCAGGCTCTTCTCTGTGGGGTCCAGTTGAGTTATACCACTGTGTCACTACCTGGTTCCTCTCTGGCCCTTTTATAGGAAAAATTTGCCGACCCCTATCATAGAGATCTGTAGTGAGGGAAGAGCAAAAGGCCACAAGGCCTGGGGTGCATTCAGGTAGCCAAGACCCTCCTTGCCCTTAAGAAGCCTGTCTTTTGATCTTGCCTTGAACCCACCTAACAGACTTCCAATCCAGTGCTCAAGCACAAGGAGCATCCTGGGTCCAGTGGTGGGAGCATTTTTAGTGCATCCAGCATGTGTGACTGGCCAGAGAGCCATCTGAATACATGTGTTAGTCCAGAGCACAGCTGCATTGCATGGACTAATGCCACATTGTGACTTCTTTGTGTCTAAGACTTTCTGATTTCAGTTCTTCCCTGTCACGATGTTGGTCTGTTTCTTCTCCTCACCCAACCCTCGACTTTGTTTTTGTCCAAACAAAAAATGCTTTTTGCATTCTAGAAAACAAATGCAAAGCTGCGGGTCATGAAGCTGAGTAACTGTTCTAAACCTGTCAGACATCAGGAGTCCTTACAGACCATTTTGGAAGGAAAGTGCAACAAGAAGCCAGAAAAACGTTAGTAACTCTTGAAAAGGGATTAGAAACATCAGAGAACATAGCAGCCTTCCAAAAGAGTGTGCTCAAAGCACTGGCACCACCATACAACACTCCCCAGTGATTTCAGGAGGCAGAAAGTCACCTGGCCACCAACTGGACTTCCCTTGCTGAAGCTTTTCTTTTTTGTTACTATCTGAAATGAATGAGGCAAACCAAATGAACATGATTTATCTAAAGATGCATTAAAGGCCTTTGTGGCCCCTCTTTGGAGCGATATTATGACGGGGAGGGCTTTGCTCTCTGACATGGATAATTACCCAGTCACTCATGTAGCAACTATAGGTTAGGTACTATATGGTCCCCAGGATGCTAGAGGTGAAGACAGAGACTGCCTTTGCTCTTGGAACAGTTACAGCAGGTGGCAGGAGAAGACAAGTGTGGAGACCAGCGAAGGTGACAGAGAGATCCTGGGGATGAGAACAGAGCTGCAAGAAGCATCTGGACAGAATGTAGGTGAGGGCATAAGAGAGTTCCTAGGGAGGTGCCGCCTGGGCACCTTTGAAGACATTGAGTAGGTGTCCCCAGCCCAAGGGGTCTGGTGAGATTGGTGCAGCCTGGTGTGTGAGATCTATAGGAGCATATTTCACATGCCCATGGAGGCTGGGGCACAGGGCAGGGGTGTACAGGGGCTAGAGTTTGAAGGGCCCCTCAGCCACATTAAAGAGCTTTCGGGACCCCAGCCTGCTGAATGTAGACAGGATCTGGGTGAGTGCGGAGGCACTTGCATACTTGTGCAGCTGGTTTGAGCCAAGTCTGCATCATGATGCACTCAGCCTCGATAGCATCTCTGGAAGTTTCTGCAGTTGTACCATTGCCCCTGTAGACACCTGGACTTCTGTGACAAGGTCCTCTCAGCTCGCCTGCCTTTTTCTCACAGATGCAAGCCTTTATCAAGTCCCACAGCCTCCTGAGTTTGAGTGCCTGCCAACCTAGATTGCAGTCTCCCACTCCCTCCTTGCTGCCCCTTTTGTTGAGGCACCTTTCTGCCCTTGCCTAAGGCCCTGCAGGATCCTCCACCCCCCTGCTATGAAATCAGACTACCATGTGACTTGAAGTCAGCTGCCTCTCTCTAGCCTAATCCCCCATCCCACTGTGCTTCCTGCTGGCCTCTGACCCTGCTGCTGTCACCTATTGCTCCTTGCCACTTGTCTTCCCTCACCCCACCAAGATAATTACTTCTAGCCTTCAGAACATGGCCCAGGTGTCACTTTCCCCAGAAATCTTACCTGGCATGCTCACCCACCACCACTGGCTGAATTCAGTGTCCTCTGCCCCCCTTCCCCAGTACCTTGTCTTTTATCACCCTCATCCAGCTACCCCCAGGGCCTCTGCCCAGATGACCAGTTCACCTCACTCTTGAAGCCCTGTCCAGATCCTGTTCCTCCCTGCTTCCCAGCCCTGAGTCATACCTCTGTTCAGTGTTTATACCAGCTTGCAATGACCTCTTTTCTGTGCCTCCTTAGCCTGCCACACTGCAGGCCCCATGGAAGAGGAGTTGTGTGTTTTTCATCTTTTGTCCTAAATGCACTGCCTGGCGTGTGAGTAGGAACTCAAGCGAATATGGATGGATGGATACTAGGAAGGAATAGTTGATGGGTGGGTGGATGGATAGGTGGTAGGAAGGAATAGCTGATGAATGGATGGATAGGTGGTAGGATGGAATAGTTGATGGGTAGATGGATGGATAGGTGGTAGGAAGGAATAGTTGATAGATGGGTGGATGGATAGGAGGTAGGAGGGAATAGCTGATGGATGGATGGATAGGGGGGAGGAAGGAATAGTTGATAGATGGGTGGATGGATAGGAGGTAGGAGGGAATAGCTGATGGATGGATGGATAGGGGGGAGGAAGGAATAGTTGATAGATGGGTGGATGGATAGGAGGTAGGAGGGAATAGCTGATGGATGGATGGATAGGGGGGAGGAAGGAATAGTTGATAGATGGGTGGATGGATAGGAGGTAGGAGGGAATAGCTGATGGATGGATGGATAGGGGGGAGGAAGGAATAGTTGATAGATGGGTGGATGGATAGGAGGTAGGAGGGAATAGCTGATGGATGGATGGATAGGGGGGAGGAAGGAATAGTTGATGGGTGGATGGATGGATAGGTGGTAAGAAGGACCAGTTGATGGGTGAATGGATGGATAGGTAGTAGGAAGGAATAGTTGATGGGTGGATGGATGGATAGGAGGTAGGAAGGAATAGCTGATGGATGGATGGATAGAATAGTGAATAGATGGACAGATGGTTGAGTGGGTAAATGCATGGATGGTGGGTAGATAGATGGGTGGGTGGCTTCCTCGCAAAGTGGTGTTTCCAAAAGGTGTGGTCAGCTGTCACAGGATGCACATAGGTGCATTAGGCCTGATCTATGCCCTGCAGACTATAGGAGAAGTCAAAGAGATTTGGCCAGTCTTGGTGATGAGAAGGCCTTAGCCCTATGAACAGAACCACACCATGCCCCTTTCTCCTACTCTTTCAATCTCTGAATTCTGGCTTAGGGGAGTTGGAAATTGCAGAAGTTGAGAAGTACTTTAAGCCCATCAACTGCAAGGCACGGGACAGATTGTTATCAGCACTGTGACTAAGATGTGCAGTGCTCTTCCTGGTCACCAGGCCCTGGTCTTAGCACTGGCTCTATTTGGACCTTGAAGCCTCCTCAGTAAGTGCAGTACTGAGCCCTGTGCCTCAAACAAGGGTGTCAACCAGATGCCTCCTGATGAGTGTGCTTTCTTGATCACAGATCCCTCGACCAAGCAGAAAGGAACCATTAACAGCCTGAGAAGGTGGCTGGCTGGAAGCCTCAAGGACCACCCAGCCTTGCTCCCAGCTCACCCACAAGATGTGGACAGCCCTTATGTTCGTTTGGATTTCTTCTTTATCCTTATCTGAAAGCCAGGTGGCATCCACTGATGCACGTAAGTGAGAAAGCTGTGCGACTGCTAGACAGGACCACAGTGGCCCCAAAGCACCTTCAGCAAATGAGGAGGTGTCTGCAAACCCAGGCCGGCAAATCAGGAACCCTGGACCTCCCTGGGTGCTGGACTGGGAAAGGATAAGCTTCTCCGTGGTCAGCAGGGTAGGGAGCCCCTGACGGGACCCAGTAACTGAGCCCTGAGAGGTTCACTTGCTTGGCCCTGCAAGATTCATGTCGTTTTTCAATCTACTCTTCCCTGGGGAATGCATTCATTCATGTGTCAAATATTTAATCATACTCTGGCTCTTTGTTAGTCACCGCTCATTTCCAAGAACTCCTGCAGTGATTCTTTCACTAAGCTGAGTTCTTTTATGATGTGAATATGACCTGTGCAATGATTTATCTGTTTTGTAGACCTGGGTGTGCATTTAATTTTTTTTTTTTTTTAATGGTGAATCACATCTGTAATGAGAGCCTTTCACTCTGATATTTTGGGAATTAGATCAACTAGTGAAGCTCTAAGGCCTTCTATGGGCTGGAGATTCAGAGAAGGCAAAGGAGTTTTAAAATCAGAGTGCCAAGGTCTTCTCTGGTAGGCTTCATGCCAGACGGGGGCATAGAGAAGAGAGAAGCATGTTCACACATCACCTCCCTTGACTCTCCCTGAGCTGAGAAGAGAGGGCTCAACAGAGCCAGCTCATGGGGCTGCAAGTTAAGACAGTCTCTGCGTAACCCACGTGCATGATTGAAATTGATCGTATCTCTTTTTTCTCCTTTTTCCGACTTTAAGGGTACTTGGTCTCTAACATGGTGGGGAATAAATTAGTCAAGAAAAGTACAACTGTGGAAACAGTAACAAAGACTGATGATAAAACATCCCAGAAAATAACTGTGGTGACATCTTCTCCTGTTATGTCGACCAGAGGGACTGTGGTAGCCAACCTTAGCTCTACTGAAGTCACAACGGAAACAGCAAACAGGACAAATGTTAAAGCTCCAACAACTGTGAAAGGTATGACTGACAGTACAACTTCCAGAGCTCTTCTGCAGCCCACCTCACCTGTCCCCACATCGATGTGGCAGACCCTGTCCACAAGCACTGCTGGGCGTCTGTCTCTCCACACACCCTCTGCACAAGTGCCAAGTGGCAGCACGTTGCCAAGAACATCAACGCCAGCAACATCGGCCACGCGTGCTCAGACACCGACTGCAGCCACAGCAAGTATGGGCAGTCTGACAAGTACTCTTAGTCCTTCTGAGCACACACCCAGAAACTCCACAGCAATCCCTGCACCCTCCATGAGCTCCCCAGCACAAGGTCCCACTATGCAGGCATCCCCGGAGCAGCCTGTGGTTAACACAGCAAGTAAGCCAACACCCACTCCCTCACACACAACTCCAGAGCCCACCACCTCCCCTTCTGTGGCTTCCAGGTCCTCGACAGAGGTGACCACCACCAAGGCACATGCCAAGGAGCCTACTGCCAGCACAGTGCCAGCGCCTCTCATCAGTCCAACCCCTAAGGTGGAGGCCACATCCCACACAACACAACCAAGCTCTACGCCATCTACCCCAGGGGCCAGTAGGCCAGGCACAACTCAGACACCAGAGCAAATAAAAACAGAAGCCACACCAGGTACTACATCCACCCAGCCAACACCCAGAAGCTCAGGGGACCCCAAGATGCCAGCCACGGATTTGTGCCCGCTCAGCACCCAGGGCCAGTACCTGGTGGTCACCACCAAGCCCCTACCCCACTCCCCAGTAGACAAAACTTTCCTCCTGGTGGTGCTCTTACTTGGGGTGACCCTGTTCCTCACAGTCTTGGTTTTGTTTGCCCTGCAAGCCTACGAGAGCTACAAGAAGAAGGACTATACCCAGGTGGACTACTTAATCAACGGGATGTATGCAGATTCGGAACTGTGAGGACGGCGGAGGCCCAGCCCCTTCCTCGTCCTATCATTTTTGCCTCTGAGACCAAACCAAGTGCTTCCAAACTCTTTCGGTGCAATTTAGGAGATATGCCAGATACTTAAAACATATCTAATTGCTGTCAGATTAATTCCATGATCACTAAAGAATTGCTGCTTTTTTCATATTTATTTTTGTAAACGATCATGTGCACAGGAAGGGACACTGATTCTCCCTCAGGGTGGGGTAGGGTGTGCTGGGCTGGAGTGGGTAGGACCCTGGGCTCCTGTGCTCCCCCACTTGTGTCAGATCCTGACTAGAATTAAAGCATTGACCACCCTCTGTTCATGCCATCTCTCCACATTTGCTTCAGTGAGTCCTGTCCACAGTTGCTTAAAGTGGAGCCTTTCTGAGGTGCGTGAGATGGAGTTTGTTTTTGTAAATGTTTAATATAACATGATGCCTAGAGGTCTTCTGTGTCTGTGCCACTTTCCTGGGCTTTACCGATACCCAAATCTGCCCTGGATGGGAGGCCTTAAGTTAATAATCTCATAATTTTCCTTCTTCTGGACTGTTCAGTGTTGAATGTCTTGGAGCCTGGTTTGGGTGTACAAGAGCAAAATTCAACATGTAACCCACAGTAGAGTCAGGTTGGCCTGGACCTGCTTGGACCACAGTCTTAGTAGTGATCCTACTCAGCTAATGAAGCGGGGTGATGGGTCACTAGCAATGGAGAGGTTGAGTACTTTGTCTCGGGTCACCCTGGGCCTGGGATTCGACCTCAGACATTTCCTCTGGATTCTAGGCAGCCCCCTACCCCCCACCCTTTCGCAGCCAGCAAGCAGAGCCAGCACTTGCTATATGTCTCTTATGCACCAGCCACCATACTGACCCCGAGTGCTTGTACTCACTCAGCCTTCCCCACCCCAGGAGATCAACACTACAGTCCCCAATTTAAAGATGAGACCGGCCAGCTCATGGCCTGGTGAAGGCAGCTGGATCGCACGTGGCCAAACTCATGGTTAAGTCCCAGACTCTGACTTGAAAAACACGCCGGGAATATGTGCATATATGCCCAAAGTCCCAAAAAGGAGGGAGAAGTGGGAATGAGATTGCAGCATGACCATGCCCTATGGGGCGTACAATTTTACTTTGTCTCACACAAGCTTCATCAGTACTTTCTTTTTCCATGTGCCCAGACTGAACTTGCACTTCCAACCTTTCTTTGCCCGGCTTGCCCAAGGCAGCAAGAACTGATGGGCCACACATGGGTCTAGGCATCCTGCAAAGTTGTATTCCCAGGCAAGGTCTGCTGTTGATCACTGTGAGTGGAGTAAGCTATGGAATATTCTGAAGCTCAGCCTCATCTGGAAAATGGGCAAAGACATAATAGCATCTGCCATAAATGTGACCAGCCTAAATGGTGCTGGCCCCAGTCGGGGAGGCGACTTCTGCCTGGAGTCCCCAGTTTCCCTCTCACAGAGGCCTCTCTGGGCTAGGTCTGGGTGTCCAGCTCCTTTCTTATTTTTGTTAGCTTGGCCAGAGGGTATGTGTGTTTATTGGGGAGAAGGAAGGAAAGTGAAAATCACTCCCCGTGGAGGACTGTCATACCACAAGCCCTTCTCCAGTTCTTTCAGGATTTGGGGCATTCATACACATGTGCACAGCCAGTGTGTTTTTCAAGCCTCCAGGTCTGGGACTTCCAACAGTGCCATCGGCTCTGTGGGATCAAGCTGCCCTAGCCAGCTTGTCATGGCTGGCCCCAGTCTCTTATTTAAATTCTGCCTTTTCTGAAAAGGATTTCCAATGGCACATGATAAAAGACTAACTCCCAAACCGTTGGACATGACTTGAAAACTTAGGTTGGAGAAACATACAAGGTGAGAGGACAGATCAGAACTTCCACGTGGTTCTCAGCTCTGGTCTAACTCACATGGCCTGGGCATCTTTCAGCCTCTTCTCCCCCTGATGAGTCCAGCTGGCCCTCGCTGCCACCTTCCACTTCCCTTGGCCTTCCCTGTCTCTGAGGCAGTCTGTACCAGCAGCTGGGCTCCAGCCATCCTGGGCCCTTCTGTCCTCCTGTCCTGCACAGCCTCCACACACCTGAGCGTATGTGCATGTGGTGCTGGCTGGGAAGGTAGTTGGGTCCAGCCCCTGGCTTGTCCTCGGAGGCTTAAGCTCCAGGCCAGCCCCCAGCCTCTTCCTGCCAGAGATGCCCTGCTTTAAAGGACACCCCTTTCTCTGCCAAGCCTCATCCTAGTGGTCTGGGCCATGCTCCCCACTCGCGCTGGTGGAGTCTGACCCAAGAGAGCCAGAGCCCTGGACCCAAGTGAGTGTTCTAGGCTCAGACGGTGTTCTAGGCTGAGGGGACCTCGTTCCCTTCTGAGGGGGTAGGACAAGGGACAACCCATAGGGCTGGGCAGGGCCCTCTGCCTGGTGCCCCTACTTCCAAAGAATTGGCACAAAAGGGATCCACAGGGTCAGTCATTCCCCTTGTCCCAGCCAAGGGCCCCAGATTCTTTTTTATTTTGGAGAGGTTTTTGCTATAGGGCATGTGTGCTCGCCAGAAAGAGAGAGACAGAGAGACAGGAAGCGAGAATGGCCACACCACAATCTCTCCTCCTCCTTGGGCATGCACTCACACACGCCTAGCATGAGTTTAAGCCATCAAGTCCAGGATTCAAACCATGGTCGACTACATGGGAGTCCAGCGACATAGCCATCACACCAACTGTTGGTCTCAAGGGCCCCAGATTCTTTCACCCCATGAGAGGACTGGTCATACTCCCCAGCCCTCTCTTCCTGGGGATATTATTCCTGACCATCCACCATCATTTGCCCTTGGGTGGCATTCCTAGTGAGCTGCAGGTGCCTTGTGGCATCCAAGGCTGAGCCCCGCAGTGGCCCCCCGGAGTGTGTTCACCCCTGAGAATCCTTCTCACACCTAATGGCATCACCACTTAACCTGAGCTGGGAACCTGTGCTTTATCCTGATTCCAATCACCGGCCCTAGATACTCCCATAATCTAGCTGTTCCACCTGCCAGGTCCCAGCGGCAGCCTGCCTTGGGCTACCCCCGCCCCATACGATCTGCAGCAAGAGATCGGCCACAACACAAATTGATCACACCTGTCCCTTCCCAAAGCCCTTCTCTGGGTAAAGGCTAAGCTCCTCCTCCTGGTATTCCAGACCACGGAGACCCCTCCAGTGGGTCCTAGTCAAGCAGAGCATGAGGGAAGGAGCTGGTCTTAGGAAGGCCCATGGGAGGTGAGGGCCACAGTGAGCCCCTGGATCACAGGCCTGTCTAAATGTAGGAGTCCCAAGCTAACTCCCTGGAGGACCCCCAGATTATGCTGTGAACTCATCCAAGCTCCATTCAGCATCAGTTTATCAGGTGTTTATTGAGCACTTATTGTTTACCAGCTGGGGATTTGTAGTGGCCCAACCCCTGTCCCCCAGGAGACCCATACCCACACCCACCCCATTTTATGTGAGAAGCAAGATGAAGAAGGTAAAAGGTGGGCACACAGAGGAGCTACCTCACTAACCTTGGGAGCTCAGAGAAGGTAGCCTGGCAGAGAGGGCCTCAGAGTGGGGGCAGAGGCTCGTCCAGGGCCCAGTACCACACTGGCACACACCTGTGTGCAATCCCTATTTGATGGCTCAGTCCTCATGGAAAATACCAGAAGACCAAGGTGGAAATGAGAGTCCCAGGTCTGGGGCTTGGCCTCACACGGGGCTCTCTCCTCTTCACAGGGAGAAAACAGAAGCATGGAAAGGCCAAGTTAGTGCCTAAGGTAGCCACCAAGCACATGGCAGGACAGGACTCGCATTGGGTCTGTCTGCTCTATCCACAATGCTGGCATGGAGCCAGTGCTCGAGGCTCCTCCTCCAGAGCCAGGGGAACACCCACGTAGGACAAGAAACAGGCATCAGAGCTGACTGATTTCCTCCAAGGGGCAGCCACGCATTCCCTGACGAGTAAGTCCAAGGGCTCCCCCTGGTGGTTGAGGCTTTCCAGCCTTGTTGGGTGCTGGCTCAGGCCAGGGACATTCCTTCCCACCAACCTCCCCTTGCAACCACCCACCCCTCCAGAACAGTTTCCCTCATACCAGAAACCTTCCTGGTTACCACATTCTGGAGAACTGTCTTCCTCCATTCCCCTAGACCAGAAGACCTTGTCTCCCACTGAGGGACAGAATGTTCTAGGTCGATTACATCATTTGTGCCTGTAACTATCTCCCTACCAGAAGGAAGCCATGAGCAGGAAGGATGCAATGAACTTGCACGCAGGCCCTGCACTTCTGTCCCAGAGTGGACCAGCTGGGACACATGGAGCAAACCGTGTCCAAACTCAGCCACGATTTTTATATCTACAACTTTGCTTAAAAATAAGGACTTGGGGGGTGGGCAAGGCTTATCCAGCACAGTGACAGGGACTGGTAACAGCTAATGTTTTTGAACTCTTACACACCAGGCTCTGAGAGCCTTATGCTGCCATCTCCTTTAATGATCTCAGATCATAGTCTTCCTGCTTTTCCTCCCCGCCCCAACTCATCCTCCACACAGCAGCAGGAAGGATATTTTAAAAACATCATTCCAATCACAACAAGCCCCCACTCAGTTCTCTCTGATGTCTTCCTACTGCAATTAGGAAAAAATTCAAACGTTTGAACTTAAAACTCAAACTCACACAGCCATAAGGAGGCATTTATGAGAAGCCAGGAAAATGTGAGATCAGGCAGAGAGACTATCAGGTACAGAGCCCCCAGGACAGGTGAAAGGCTGATGACTTTGGGGAGAAGGGCCTCGGGGAGAGTGGAAGAGAAAGGCCAGGGCCAGGTGGCATGGGCAGATGAGCAGCGTGGAGGCCTCAGAAACAACACTGTCTGACTTAGGGATTAAAAGATTATTTTCTGCACTGAAATATTAACAGATGAGTGATGCTCTGAGAAATCTCTTTAAAACATTTGTAAATGCTTCAGAACCAGGAGAAAGTGGAGACACAGACAGCAAGAAGATGGTTGATGGGTTCATGGGGAAAGCATACTCTTATTCCACTATCCTGTGTGCATTTGGAAGTTCTATAACCAAAACTTAAACAGTGAAAGGAAGGGAGAAGGAAGGGAAGGAGAAAGTTGTGACTTAAATTTCCTAAGTATTGGGTCATTGGGAAAATCATGACACATTTTTGCATAGAAAAATATGTCATGACTTTCCCGACGACCTACCTAATAGCCGAGAGATCCAGCTGGAAGGCTGCTCAGTTGTCCTGGGGAATGAGGATGTTGATTGAACCAAGGTGTGTTTGCACAGATTAAAGAAACCAAAGATCTTGGAGACAGGTTTTGCAGACTGAATCAGCAGGACTTTTTTCCTCCTTATAAATAAATAAATTTAAATGTATCTATATATTTATTCCATGAGCACCTACGAGAGAGAACAAGAGAGAGGCACGGTCTTCATGC